TGAGAATCAGCACCTCCAAGTCCAAGGCCATGGTTCTCAGTCAGAAAAGGGTGGCTTGTTCCCTTCAGGTTGGTGGAGAGTTCCTGCCTCAAGTGGAGGAGTTCAAGTATCTTGGGGTCTTGTTCACAAGTGAGGGAAGGATGGAACGGGAGATTGACAGGCGGATCGGTGCAGCTTCTGCAGTGATGCGGTCGGTGCACCAGTCCGTCGTGGTGAAGATTTACTCGATTTACTGGTCAATCTACGTTCCGACTCTCACCTATGGTCATGAGCTTTGGGTCATGACCGAAAGGGCAAGATCCCGGATACAGGCAGCCGAAATGAGCTTCCTCCGCAGGGCAGCTGGGCGCACCCTTAGAGATAGGGTGAGGAGCTCGGTCACCCAGGAGGAGCTCAGGAGGAGGAGGAGCCCGCTGCTCCTCCACATCGAGAGGAGCCAGCTGAGGTGGCTCGGGCATCTGTTTCGGATGCCTCCTGGGCGCCTTCCTAGGGAGGTGTCCCGGGCATGTCCCACCGGGAGGAGGCCCCGGGGAAGACCCAGGACACGCTGGAGGGACTATGTCTCTCGGCTGACCTGAGAACGCCTTGGCATTCCCCCGGAGGAGCTGGAGGAAGTGTCTGGAGAGAGGGAAGTCTGGGCATCTTTGCTTAGACTACTGCCCCCGTGAGCCATGAAAGAGAAAGGTCTGCAGGGAACTCTGTTCGCAGGTTCATGGTAGTCAATTACTGAGTGAATATCTCCATCATACAACCTTAAGCAGTGTTTGGAGCTTTAATATGTTTCAAATATGCCACCTTAGTGTGAGAGGTAAGCTTTATTCCTATGTACAGGGGTTAGCATATCGTGGCCTTCAAACACTATGTTCACTGCATTGTCCACTGGCCTGTTTGCCCGGTAGATGAACTGCAGGGGGTCTAGCAGGGGGTCTACGGTGTCCTTCATGACTACAGATGTCAGGACGACAGGTCTATAGTCATTCAGCCTACTGAGGTTTTCTTGGGGACTGGAATGATGGTGGAGCGTTTGAAGCAGGAGAGGACTAACAGTTCCAGTGACCTGTTGAAGATGAGTGTGAAGATGTGTTGCCATGATGGAAAGTGGACAGGGTTGTTGTTGCAGCTGAAGGTCAGGGTTGTGCCAAACTAGGGTCTATCTGCATGGCATTAGTGATAATTTTGTGATAGTGTTTGCTTTCCACCTTCAGTTAATATTTATATTACTCACATTATTATGGCACTCACCTATTTAATTGATTGTATAACAGTTTTCAGCACATTTTGTTAGTATTGTAGTTATTTACTTGTCATTTTGTGTGTGTGTTTTGTTCCTTTATTTTTACATTATACTAGGGTTGATAGTGGGGGCTTCATTATTATTACTATTTACCTAGCAATATGATAATTCTCATTTTCCACTATTGCTATTCTGTGTATTCACCTGTGACAGACTGGCAACCTGTCCAGGGTGGACCCTGCCTCGTGCCCAGTGTCAGCTGGGATTGGCTCCACCCCCCCGATCTTCTACAGGATAAATGGTATACTAGATAATGGATAAATGGATGGATGTGTATTCAACATACAGTATATCACATTATTCACCACAGCCAGCAACCCTAACAAACTGTTAAGAGTAGAAAAGGACAATATAGGAATTCATGTATCAGTATTACTATGTACAAGTGTTAAAGTATTACTTAATTACTGATATGATCACAATCATTACAAAGATAAGTACTATCAGGTGTATGAGGATGGCAGCAATTGGCTCCCGTTTTAAGTCTCTACTTCAGTAAATATCTCAACTTTGCCTCCTGACCCTCATTCTGTGTGAGAGAGGAGATAATTGCTTGTCAGGAATAAATAGAGAGATTAATGAAGTCATTAGTGATGGGGAGTTTAGCTCTTCGAAGCAGCACTTACTGCTATGACACATCACGCCTATTGTTTTACTAGCTAGTTAGCCTTGAACAATAACATTCACACAGCAAATTGCTTCATTCACTTATGTAAATCATGGAGAAACTGTGTCCTTATCCTGGAGTTTAGCAATAATACAAACAAAGGCTCTTTAAATTCTGATTATTCATCTTAATTATTTTTGTCTGTAAGAGCTGGTGTCTGTGGGAGCTGGTACAAAACAGAACACATTAATCCAAATTAGTCATGAATACTACCAGTCGATGTGTGCAATTTTCCAGTTGCACTACTGTTTGCTTGCAGCATTTGTGCCAGATACATAGCATCTCTACTTGGTTTTATGTGATGTTTATAGCTGTTTGAACAACTATAAAATGATTAACATATTTACAGATCAGCATGTAAAGTGCTAAAAAAATTTATAACAGTATAACACCATGTCAGTTAAACTTCAAGACAGTGGGTTTACTCTCATCTCCCACAGGTTTTTCCTTCCATTGTATTGTATTGTATTGCCAGTACCAGTAGGAACCAGTAGAAAATTAAGTATATTATTGGTATGTAATTCACACAACACAATTACACTGTAAACTTTGAGTTATATTAAGTGTTTAATCTCTGAGGAGTTCCTGGCAATATGAATATAAAAAAACTGTGGGTACTATAATAGAGAAGAAAATGCACTGCATATAGAGAAAATCAACCAGTTACCAAAAGGCCATGGTCTTTATTACACCAAAATAAATAGCACATGTTCCGGGTCCAAATAATCCTTAAGTAACTAGAATTTCTCATATTTTGACAAAAGTTAGTTGCTAGATTAAAGATTCACTTTCTCATTCAGCTATTAACCAACAGCAGAATTTAATTGTTACATGATTTGGCATCAGATAAAATTTTTGCAAATTTAATAATAAAAAAACAAAACAAAACATAAAGGACTGTGTTAAAATGATAACACGATGAAACATGCTAGCCTAAAAAATGCACTAAAAGCTTCCCTATTGTGTTTTTCACATCATCTAAGCTACATCATGAAAATTTCATAAAAACAGTTCTATTAAATGTAATTATACTCAGTTTCTAATGAAAATGTTTTTATACACGCGTCTTTAATGATCTAGCCCTATCTCTTATAAATACATAAGTGCTCCATGTTTATATTATGCATGTTTTATTTGTTTTGAGCAGGAGGGTTCTAAGTCCATCACTCCTTCCATCCATCCAACGAAACTACTGCATCAACTTCAAATTTTTTTTTTTTTTTAAACACTGCTAAGCACTATGTTTGAAGGTTTTCCTTGTGGGCAGCTTAACTGTAATGTTAACTGTAATTACAGGCTGCACTTCTATAGTGAATTATCCAACCAACCTTAGAACAAAGAAATGTACATTACTGTACATAATAAGTCCAGTGAAAGGATCCTGGAGAGGTTGGGGTGGGCCCTGGCTGACAATACCTCATACTCATAATACCATAAATATTTGTTAGAACAATTTCCTAATAATAAATCATCTGCTCTTATCATGTTTGCTCTATACCAATGTGTTATATATATCTCTAAATATTAAGCTTGCACAGTTACATAGGGTTACACACAATCTTGATTGTACTTGATTTTCTACCTATGTACTTTGTCAATTATCTACAGTCTGGGTTTAACTCCCTGAAATGAAGATATTTTTAAAAAATAGAAATGTCCTACAGGGAGCTATAAGACCATTGAGGAAATATAACAGAATGTCTATGTGGTTAAAACTCAAGTCATGGATGCAGAGCCAGATGGTTACACAAGGCCTGTCTCCCTCTCATGTCAAAGCAGGTGTTATCTTTTCGGGAACAGTAAACTGGTACATGTGCTCTCTCCTCTCCACATTTTTTGTCAGCAGATATCAGTAATAATAAGCTGATGTGATACCTTGCAGTGCACTCTGTCTGTCTTGCTAACCTAGCTGGACAGTACATCTGTTGGTTGGAAGCCACTTCCAGGGCTGTGTTCTGTGACTTTGCACCTGACAACAGTGAGAGTCAAATACAACTAGTTATCAGGTTTGATAAACACCAACAGATAACACAGTTTATAAACTGCAGAAAAAATAACCACATCACGCAAACACACGTTCATATGCACAAAATAAAATTAGCACTTTCTGGCAGCAATCTCTGCGGGGCTCCAGTCCAGACAATATAGTTAAGTTTTGCATGGGTGATAAGAAAGCCCCCTCTGTTTGTGTATTCTTTCATTCTTTAGATCTCATGATACTGTATATGTCAGTGTACATGGTAGAAATATACACTGCAGGTGATCAGTACACACCCTGTGTTCTCAAGTCAAGGCAGACATGCATAAAGTACACACATAATCATTCCTATAGCAAGAAAATTTAAATGTAGATATAAGCCAATGACATACAATAACAGGACTGCTATACAGATGGATATCTAAATAGAAATTAACAAGGCTGGGTGTTCTCTACAGACCCGTGAAAGATGAAGGAAGAATTAGGGGATAAGAGCAGAGTTTAAAACTGATCCTGTGCAACTGGGTTTGGCACAATGGAGCCAAAGGTTTCAAACATCCGAGGTGATCTGAAGAATGATAAATGCATTGCTGCTAATCCTTCTAGATTAAGTAGATATAAGCTGCACTAAAGAAAAAAACAAGAAACTCTGCTCTCATTGTTCACCTCAACTCAAGTTAGAATGAAGCCAGTGACCACTCCTTGCTGTGAAAGACCTGACGAGAGCCAGTCAATAATACTGACTTGTCCAGTGGATGGCACGAGACATCCAGTCAGGAGCTCAGGGATTGCCTAACATGCCTGACCGGCCAAGGCTTGGGCCAGTCAGTACTCATCTATGCTGCATGCAGATATTCTCTGATACTCTGCCTCTGGCTTCAGGTTGATGCAAAGACAGTATCATTTTGAGCAGAGGCCCAATGGAGCCAAGCAATTCCTCAGTCCTGATGGGCCTTTTCCTGAATAAATTTGTATTCATACTGGAAAGAGAAAGACAGGAAGGGAATTAGAACCATTAGACACAGTACAGCAGAATCACACTTTTCATTGGCTGTATCTTTGAGTGTATAACTTAAGACAATGAGTCACATATATATTTCTTGGCACATATGTATTTCTTTGCATTACAGTCCACAACACAAATCCAATACCAATTCAACAGAGATTTGCTGATTCCAATTTGAAATGATTCCAGTTTCTTACCAAGGCTAGCTGCCGTCCTATATTTCCCATAGTTATCACCCCAGCAAAAAAGATACAGGGTAACCAGGAGCGAATGTACAGGAAATCTGGAGAAGTATACCTGTACAGAGAAGAAACACATTACAGCAGCTTATAAATCTTTAAACAATATATAGGTTTGAACTATATTTTGCTCTGACAATCTTGTTTGACTGATTGTATATTCATATCAGAAATACTGTACCTTTTATAAATCTATCTGAAATCCCAACTAGTCCTTTAAAACTCAAAAAGTATATAAACATTTGTTTTATTCAGGAATCTCTTTCTTTCATATCATTACATTTAAAAGTGCCTAAAGCAAAGCTCACAGGCCTACCCCTTTACATTCCCCCAGATTTGTTCTGCTTCTTATTTTCTGGAAAATAAATTCCCTTTAAAAATAGAACAACTTTCTCACAGGTCAAACACATTTTGTATGTTCTTTGACAGTAATTTGTGTTAGCTTTATGTAATATCAGAACAGTTTTAAAATCTACTAAATCATCAAAGTTCAGTAAATGGAATTGAAAAACCTGATAATTTGAAGGTTCTCAATAATAATGTGTGTTAATAATTCTTACAACTATCTTGTGTAGATGGAATGAAAATTTGTTTAACAAATGTTCTACATGCACTTCCTTAACCCTCTGCACCACAGGTGACGTATGGGACAATAACTGTACAGTACAGGATATACAGTGTGTTCCCATGTAGCAGGTCTTTACCTTTTGTTACGTGAATGGCGTAGAACATGTGTGAATAACCGGTGAGCAGTCTGTACGTATGGTGTGTGTGTGTGTGTGTGTGGCTGGAGGTGTGGTCGAGGGAGAGCGTGTGACGTATGGGCGTAGTAGACGAGAGGTCAGTATGAGCGGGTTGGAGAGTGAAAAGACAGACAGTGGAATTAAACCGGAGTGGGCGATATTGTTCATGTTGAGGGAAAGTGACAATAAAAGTCTGGTTTCCAAGGAAGTTGCCCGAGTGTTCTTGCTCGCTGCTAAAGACCACGGTGAAGGGAGATAACCCCGAGGTGGACTGCAGCCTCGGCCCTGGAGCAGACATCAGCCTCCCCTGTGCCACTCGACTACGGTCAGCAGGAAGGGTTACATTGGCGACCACGAAGGGACTATTCACATAAAGCAGAGCAGCAGTGGTGAGCACCATACACGGCGAAAGAAACCAGGACAAGCAGCTAAAAGTGCCGTAATTACCCTTGTCGGGCTAATAAGCTAACGTTAGCATGGCGGCCGCTAATCATCGCCACATCGTGCCCCGACATGTGACTAGCCCCTCTAACCCGTTCATGACGCCAACTGGAGCTAATGAGAGTGAAACGATTATGAAAATGGACAACGACAATAAAGTAAAGAAGGGTTATGGACATTGTAATGAGTTTTTGTGTGTGGATGACCCTGTGTCCACGCCGCCTAAGTTTTCAAGCACAAACCCTTTTGTCGAGGCTAATGGAGGGAGTAAAAGCTCTGGGGACGACTGGGCTTATAGGCAGAGTGACAATGGATACAGCGGAGTGCACCACCAAGGCGGGGATCCTCCGTTAATGCTGCACCCCATTTTACCATCCACAAATGTTGCCACCCCACATTCCAACCCCTTTTACCCCGTTCACCAGCCAGCATTTATCCACAGTACACCAGCCCCATGTTTTCCCCTTTGCTCCATGTGTCCCGGGCTACACGCCCCACGTTGTAACCCAGCCGAAGACACTAACTATGGACATTTAGAGCCAAATGAAGGTCATACTGTTCTGTTAAAGGACCTTTCCCATGAATGTGAGCAGCCTAAGTTGCATACACGCCGGCTGAGGCACGCCCCCTGCCAGCTGTCATCGGAGAGTGAGGAGGAAGGTGACTTCCGGGAGAGAGTCCCCATCTTATGCCCTGGTCAATATGATGGCATGGCTCCATGGAGGGAGCTCCTGCACAGGTTTGAATGTTGTGCTAAAGCCAATTACTGGTCAGAAAAGACTATGGTCACCCAGCTGAAATTCTGCCTGGTGGGGGCAGCAGGTGCCATCATCCACAGAAACCCCCAGTCCTCCAGGTGGGACTACAGCCGGTTGGTGAAGGAGGTGGAACAAACCTACGGCCCTTCTTCAGAACATGCTGTTGCTGTAGCTATTGAATTAAGACAGCGTGTCCGTAAACCTGGTGAGGCTCTTCATGTTTTAAGAGATGACATA